TTTTAAAAAAAAAACCTCTAAATTTTACTTCACATTTTTAGTGCCTTTGACAAATCGACTCTTAAGTTCATTTTGTGCCTTATCGATTTATTCAGTACATATGGGCTTAAGAAATAGATTCTAAAAGCTGCAATCAATTTGTACACTATACATCTTTGGTACTTAAACAGGCAGCCTTTTAAATGAGGGAGTAAAATTTAGAGGTTTTTTTTTAAAAAAATGAAGTGCTACTGGAAGGTTCAGGCCTGATTAAGCACTACTGACATTTGCAAAAAGCATGTGTTAGAAAAGCCAGTGTCTCTTGTTTGCGAAGATTAGCTGTTCCTTAGGATTTGCAGGAAGACATGGGAGTTATGGAATGCAGGTTTGCAACAGATGGTCATGCGCATACAGCTGGGGAAAGAAGGAAGGAAGGAAATGCTTGTCTAGGAATAACCAGCCACCATCGCTATTTGCAACAGATTAAAAGACAGTCTGTACATACTACCCAGGGGTGGGCTTCAAAATTTTTAGCAACTGGGTCTCTGCCCGGTTGCTGGGTGGGCATGGGTGTGGCCTAGTCGGCCTCCTGCACCAAGCTTGTTTTTGCCCTCCCTGGGCTTCAGAGGCTTTCCTTGAGCCTTCGGGAGGGCAAAAATGGCCTACCCTGGGCTCCGAAGGCTCCCTGGAGGCCAGAAACAGGCCCATTTCTGGCCTTCCAGAGCCTCCGGGAGACTCGTTTCTCTCCCTCCCCAGCCTCCGCGTGGGCCCTGCACTTACCTGGCATTCAAAAAGGGTCGCTTGGAGACTCCTGGGAGGGGAGGGTGGGGTCAGCCAGGAGTGGGACTTGGGGGTTCACCGAACCGCGCAGAATCTTCGCTAGAGGATGGGCTGAACCTGAGCAAATCCAGAGCAGCCCACTAGTACTACCTTGGTCAAGTAGGGTCAAAGAAAAATTAGTTTTGCAGCCAAGATTTCTTCATCATATATTTCTGCAGTTGGCTTGTAAAAGGTTCTATGTTATTAGGAATACAAAGGATCTGATTTAGAATCCTTAACTCAAGAAAAGGTCATGTACACCAGGGTTTTCTCATCCTTGGCAACTGTAAGATAGGTGGACTTCAACTCCCAGAATTCCCCAGCTAGCTATGGTGATGGGGGAATTCTGGGAGCTGAAGTTCACCCATCTCAAAGTTGCCAAGGTTGACAAACATCAAGCCTACTAAATGTCTATGGGGATTCTCAGTCATCCAGGTCACGGTTGTCCCAAAGGTGCTTTTTTTCAAGAGGCAACTGGACTTTCTGTTTTTCCTTTGAAGACGTTTCACTTCTCATCCAAGAAGCTTCTTCAACTCTGAAGAGAGAGACGCTTGGATGAAAAGTGAAACGTCTTCAAAGAAAAATCAGAAGGTGCAGTTGCCTCTTCAGAAAGCACCTTTGGGATCAATCCTACTAATTTCTGCTCTTGTTGGCAGTTGCTGTCTGGTATTCATGGCCCTCTTAGCCTTCTATCCTTGTTGAAATGGAAATACCACTTCATGGCATGCTCTGTTTTGTTTTACAGGAACCAGCTACTGCACTGGCAGGCTGTAGGGAATCCGAGATGCAGAGGCACCTGGAAGAGGGTTCTTCAGCGGGATACTTGCACTTGTCCTTCAGTTCACAGCTTCTTGTTCATCTGACTTTCATACGATGCCACCAACTTTGATTTTGTCACTACTGTAGTTCTCATTTACAGAAATTCAGGAGATAATATGGAACCTGCTGCGTGGACTTTTCAACATTCTTCCAATGTCTGAAGCCCTACCTCTCACTCCCAATATTTTATATTTCAAAGTATATTGAATAGCAGGATTTAAAGAAGAAGCATTGTAGGAGAGACCTAGGATTGTTAAGGTTTTGTTCTGAAGGCAGACTCTGATCAATACGGATGGGTAACCTTGTCAGGACTCAATTCGGATCATCCTCAAGGTGCATAAAGCAGTTTGCTCTGAAAATTAAAATATTTCACGTTTGTTCTGACCTAGGATTCCTGAGACAGTAACAAATCACATGCTTAGTCCCAAAACCTCTCTTTTTATTTAAATGGCTGTGAATTATGTTCATTCACAGTCCGTAATGATTCACAACCAGTTTGTAAAGAGTCCGACAGAAGTCTGCCACAGTCTTTCAGGATAAGGCTGATAAGCACCCACCTTTATCTCCCTTGAAATGTTGCCAAAGAACTAATTGCCAATTAGTTTTGCAAGGCCAAATGGAGCACAGAGTCAAACGGAGTTTCAGAGTTTAAGCCAACCAGAACGAGACTTCCTGCAAAGTGTCACATCCGTTCGCTCCTCTTTTATGTCTTATGGGAGGGGCCAATAATCTCCCAGCCTTATTCCCGAGTCACCCCTTTTGTCTTAACTCTTCTTGCCTTCTGGCAGCTCTGCGCATGCGGGCACTGGGAACAGGCTCCCTCTGTTCCTCTGCCTTGCTGATGTCAGACTCTGGAGGCAGCACATAACTAACAAATGGCCCTGGTCCCCTCTCTGCAGAGCCCTCGTCCAAGCTTTCCCCAGACTCCAGGACTGGCTCATGTTCCTCCCCAACCTCCTCACTGTCTGACTTTCCTGCCAGCTCCGCACGCCGCCAGCGGCCCACAACAAAGTTGAGCTAATGTTCACATATTACTCACCAAGCTCTCTTTCTGAGTTTATCACTTCTTTCATTTCGACAAAGCTTATCTGCCTAAGACAGCTGCAGCGAAGCTGGAGTCAGTCAAAGAGGAGCTAAAGCGATCTAATCTTTCTGTTCTATGTCCCTCCTCAGACTTTTATAATCTCCTAAATCTTGTATCAGAGCCTGAGCTTAGGGAATTTTGGTAACATTTCTCACAATTAGTGCAGGATGGTTTCTGCATGTGCAGAGATAAAGCACTGGTGTGATACTGATCACAGAACTCAGCTTCCCAAGAATCTCCTTCCCTTAGATTTCAAAAAGCAAGTTTTTAGATTTTATGGCTACTGCCAAGCTGTGCTTGGAACTTTTAATGCCTGCTGTAAACATGGAAGCTGTTGATGGTTGGAAATGATTTCCAGGCATGTAACTTTTGGTTTCATGGAAAGTCCCCTCTTTTATATTTAAATTGCAATTGCTGAATAAATATATACTGTAGTTCCAGTATCCTTATTTTCATACAATTTGCACCAACAATAGATTTCAGGGTTTGTACTTTTATACAGAATTTCCTAATTGTTTTGCCTATACACAGTACAACTGAACTGGTGATCTGAGCTGATCCTGTATATTTTAAGTCATCTGCTTCATTTTTGGGAAACTGGAAAATATGCTGGTTGGTTTTTCATTCCTTGCCATATCGGTTCTCCTTCCTTAAGTCTCTGTACAAAACAAAAGGCCAAAGAAATATTGGTGTTTGGACAGTAATGATTGATGTGGTTCCTAGCAGGTTAATGGCAGCTTTAGGGAGGCCATTTATATTGGGAAAATTGCCTACAAGAATGACTAATCTCCTCTTCACAGTTTCTTCCACTGGGAAGCCCAATCGTGGATGTTCTTAATGGATCTTTGTGTTTGTATTTCTACACCTCCCTGTGTCTTCCTTTGATTTTGATGAATAAGAAAATAAGGCATCTTTTGATTTGTTTGATCAAGGTAGAATTCAGATGTCTTTGGACTAGTTTGGCTTTTCACTCATTCACATATGGAGATGGGGTGGGGTCATCAACCTTTTGGATCTCAGGGACCACTAAATTCATAATTTTAAATCCTGCGGACCACTAATATGATCAGCCTAATGACTAGGTGGGCATGGCTAGGTGGTCACGTGACTGGGTGGGCGTGGTCAACTCAATGTCACTCAAGTCGAGGGGCATCTCACCAGCTTCTAGTCGCCCCTCCCCTTCCAGCCACTCCTGGCCTTCCCGCCCGGGCTCCTTAGGGCCCCAACAGGAAGTAGTTGCTGGAGCTAAGCAGCCACCATGAGAAAGAGTTGGCAAAACAGCTGGCTCAGTTCAAATTGGATCTGGCTGAGAAGGAGGCTCAGCAGAAGCACCTCACCGAGGCCTATGAGCATAATCTTTCCAAGCAGAGGAAAGACCTGTGGGAGTGCAAGACCAGGTACCGACACCAGGAGGTTCAGCGGGCTGAGATGATCAACCAATTCCAGGCCATGATGCAGTCCCACTGGAACAAGGTCCTGCAACTCTTTGCCACTAGCTGCCCCCCAGCCTTCGTCCAAAGCCCCGCCCAAGGAGGCTGAAGCAGACCCCACGTTTTGCCCTTCTCTGACCTCCACAAAAAGAGACTGAAGGGGGAGACTGCAGCAACACAAATGTTCATTGCATATATCTGGCCCAGGGGCCGTTGTTTGAGGACCCCTGATTTAGTGCAATATAATAAATGCAAATAATTGTTCTGTGGACCACCAACATTTTCTCATGGACCACCAGTTGGTGACTGCCGCTCTAGGGTAGGGATGAGGCAATTAGCTGCAAATAAGTTGGATAATATGTCGAGATCTTTTCGTTCTTTTGTAAGAGAGCTTAAGTTTCAGGTATGAAAATGATTTCCTTGGTGTCCTCGCCCATGGCTGCAGTATCTCTTGAATGGCTCCAAGACAGCAATCTCCCTGAAAGAAGTTTTCATTCCTATTCAAAATTATGACAGTATAAGATTAAAGAATTTAAGAAACTTGAAATTTGATTTTTTTAAATGAAATGCTTTATATAGACAACTATGTGCTCTGTTAGTAATATTTGAGTGGGATTATTCAGTTCAATAGCAATAGCACTTGGACTTATATACCGCTTTACGGTGCTTTCCAGCCCTCTCTAAGTGGGTTACAGAGTCAGCATATTGCCCCCAGCAATCTGGCTCCTCATTTTCCCCATCTCAAAAGGATAGGAGGCTGTGTCAAGCTTGGGTCTGGTGAGATTTCAAATGCCAAATTGCAGTCAGCTGGCAGTCAGCAGAAGTATCCTGCAGTACTGTACTCTAACCACTGCATCATCATAGCGCCTATAATTAAATGATGATGATGATTACATTGCAGACTTTTTGTTGGATTGAGACTTCTTGCCACTTTTCTCCAATTAAAATTGTTTCCTATATATACTCTGTGGCACCATGGTGGCACCATGGTTAGAATGCAAACTGACTCTGCCCACTGTCAGGAGTTCGATCCTAACCGGCTCAAGATTGACTCAGTCTTCCATCCTTCCAAGTTCAGTAAAATGAAGGCCCAGATTGTTGGGTGCAATATGCTGACTTGTAAACTGCTTAGAGAGTGCTGTAAATCACTATGAAGTAGTGTGTAATGCTGTATTCTCTACTGTACAAGTATGCTGTATTCTCTACTGTGCCTTCCATATTCAACCAGATAATTGTTCAGAAGGACATTGTGATTGATTGAAAGTGCCCAAGAAGTGGAGGAAATGTAGCAGAGTGGAATGATTTATTCTACATAAATAATTTTTCAGAGTGATCCCTCGGAGCTGATTCCATCTGCCAAATGCAAACCAGATACAAATAGATCTAAATGATCACAATCTTCAACACTGCTTAGAAGTGGAAGCCAGTATATGTTTCAGTAATTTACTCCTCAATGGAAAATTAGAATCCAAACAGGGATTGCTACAATAGTGGAACATAAATTTGGTTTTTTTTATTAAATTATTATCACGGGCTGGTCCTTGCATGTGTCTTCTAAGAGGAGCTAAATTTTCAAACCCAGCGTTGGCAGATTTGAGTAGCCAGAGTGGACAAGGACAAGAGATGAAATGAATCTCCAAAGCTTTTGTGTGCTTTGGCTGTAGAAGCTGACGGGTAACCATAGCAACATTAGCAAGATTGTAGTGCAGTTCCTTTCATTTTAGATTCTATCCAAACTTAATGCTTCTGAAGTTAGAATAACTATGTGATTATTGGAAAAATGCACAATAAACTTCACATTCCAGACCATAACTCCCTTCATTCCAATCAGAACCTAAGTTAAGGCTCGGAGGGAAAAACCCCAAGAGACTGCAAAGAAGTATTAGATCAGGGGTGTCAAACTCAAGGCCCGGGGGCCATATCTGGCCCATGCGGTACTTAGATCTGGACCACAGGGTTGCCCTGGAAACAGCAAAGGACCAGCCCATGGTACTTTTGCATGGAGCTCAGGAGGACCACATAAGCCCTCCTGAGCTCCGTTTTTGCTTGCAGAGGATTGCAGGAGGCTGTGGCAGCCGAAAACGGAGGTCGGGAGCCTGTTTTTGCTGGCAGAATGCTCTAGCCACCACAGGTGCCCCCAACACGAGTGACATTGAGCTGGCTATGACCTTCCTGGCCACACCCACCCCAGGCCCCAGAGGTCAAACACAACCCTAATGCGTTCTCAATGAAATTGAGTTTAATACCCTTCCATTCCCAGAAGCCAGTCTTTCTGTTCTCCATTCCAGAGATTTTAAGTAGCCACAATTTCCAGTTTGACCAAGTATGCAGTATTAAAACACTTGATACAGCGTAGCCCTATTGTAAGTGCTACTCAAGACATTATATGAGATGAGTCCACTGAACCCGTAGTAATGCCAGCAGGAACCCACCCCTGTATTGGGTAGTCAGGATATGGAAAGAGCTGTTTGATACAATGGAGCATATTTTTATGGATATGGAGTGATTTTATGTGAGACTCTTCTGTTTACATATGTGTGTGTGAAAATGGTTAATGTACAATGAAGCAGATTGGCAATACGAGATTCCAATATAAGTTCTAGCAAATACAATGTTGATTTTATAATTTATCTTCTGTGTGGACATATTAGTCAAGAAGCCAGCAGAGTATAGTCCAGAACCAGGCAATTGCAAATATTCTTCCTCAGTATTACCCTCCCTGTGAAAATATTGTTTTGTGCTTGAAACAATAAATGTATACAACTAGGACTTCAAGGAACACAGCTGTGAAAAGATTTAATACATGAAATTGACACTGTAGGAGGAAAAAGTCACCTCTATTCTAGTTGTCCCCAAATAAACAATTCTTGAAATTGAGCTCCTGACAAGAAAAGTGTGTGTAGAATTGGCTT